CCCCAAAACCCCAAAACCCCGTGATACTTATTGGATCATATTTATTATTATAAATTTTTATGAAATAAACAGTATACTTAAAGCTTCTTTAATTATTTTTGAATTCTTATTCACTGCTAGTTAGATTATATATCTTCCATCAACTCATCGCTACCGTTTAGGTGTATAATAATGTTTCTTGCTTTCTGCAGAGAGTTATGAAGTTTCCCAACTACTTGGTTGGCACTCATAACAGTCTAATTCTCCACAGTTTGTCCATTATTCTTTATAACCTCTTATAACTTGTCGATTTCTCTTTTGAGTTCCTAATTTTTAGTAGAAAGTAACTTCATTTAGGCCGAGGCATCCTATCTTATTCTTGATATTGAGTTCTCTGTTTCATGTAACTTATGATTGATAACCTCTTTTTCCTTTTGAATATCTTCAATTTGCTTGAGCAGTTTAGCTTATTCCTATGATTACTACTATGTCATAACTATTCTGCTCTGAACTGGTTAGGCTTATTACTGAGCTTATTAGATTTAAGTAGCAATAGAAGGAGGCTATTATAACTGCTGGTTCTTCATTTTTTCTTTCTAAGACAAAATAAACTGATGTTGAGTTTCAATCTTTTGCTTCTGTTTTTCAGTTACATCCCTTAAAAATACAAGTTACTCATCAATCTGCTTCTATTTATCCTGATACTCCTATTCTTTGACCTTGAATTACTAAATAGTCTCATCTTAATTTGCAATACCCTCAAATAACTCCATCAAAGCTTCAATTTAAGTCTAATACTATGAGAATATAGAGTTTATGTCTGAATACTCATTAGCTAGAAAATCATACAATGCTGTGTCGACCTCGAACTAGGTCTATGCTTCTTTCTCTTCTTATTCCTTGGGCTTAATTTCTACCATAATCTCATCCTTATGCTTTTCAAAAGCCTGATTAAGAAGCTAACTCTTCAATACAGAGTAATCTTCTTTGAATATGTTCATATGCTACTCTAATTAGAATATCTTTTCTTGATACTATGATTCTTTGACCTAAAATTCCTTTATCTACAGACTCAGACTATTAATCATCTTTGTCATATTCTAGTCTATATTGGCTTTCTGATATTCATTTCCTACTACATTGAGCTTTCCAAAGTACTCTACCAAGTAATTATGCTACTCCTATAATTCCTTCAATTTCTACTTTAGTGCTTCGTTAACTAGTTTTTAATTTTTCACCTCTTACTTATGAAGGCTATTCTCACTAATGACCTTGTCTGAATCTTTAATTTGTATGATTAAGGCAGATCTAAGATCCAGAAGTAAATGACGCTTTTTATCTAAATCTTTCTCTAACTTACTTGATCTAGCCTTGAATTTTTCTAATTCCAGAAACTAGTCCTCTGTTTGCTATTTTAATATATCAATTTACTCGCTTTAAAGATCAATCTATGACTTCAGAGAATCAATAATTGGATTTTCATATGGTCTTTTGATGCTTAACTTAATTTCTTCAAATGCTTCTTTTTATATGAGTCTTACTTCTTAGTGTTTTTAGATTTATTCCTCTATGTAGAGAAATAACTTCTCAAAATTCTTAGAATTATCATTTGAATGCAATAACTTTGTAAACGACTTCATAATCTTATCTAGGTTTTATCTTTCCTTGAGCATTTCATCCTAAATTTCATTTAAGTTCTTTATTAGAATATGCTAATCAATTTGGGTTTAAGAACTCTAGATGTATTTCTTTATGAGGATAGAAGATCTTAAATGAATTTGATTGAAAAGAGTCTTTAGTTATTAATCGTTTTAGATCTTTGGCACATCTTCTTGCAGTTTTATATACTGATCTTTTAGTAGAGTCAACTAGAGCTCTTGCTACTAAATTAAGTTCTTTTGTTATTGGCATTCAACTTTCTATTGCTAATAATAGCCAGTTATATATTTGTTAACTGATAAAGCCTCATTGAGTTATTCTTCTAAAATCTAAATCTTATTATGGGCCTCATCTAACTCATAGAGTTACTCAGCTGCTTTTCTTAGCTTTGAGTTTTCCTCTTATAATGCGCAAATTCTAAGGGTTAATTCAATCTCTTTTTCTTGATGCTTTTTGACAGCAAGCGAATGATTTTGAATTGCCTGCATTTACTACTCCAAGTATCTGGACATGCTTTATGGCTTTTATTCCTATTAAGATATATTTTAAGCGCTTAATTTTGATCTATCTTAATGGTATCGTTACTCTTAATCTACTAAATCTTTATTAAGCTTTTTAATTTCTTCTTAATGCTAATCTATTTACAGATTTTTTTCATTTATTTGTGCTAGTTAAATTTAATTTTTTTCTTAATTTTCATTCAAAAGTTGCTATAACTTATCTTCAACACTCTTTTATTTTATCTGATTTTCTTGTTCGAGCTTATCAATACACAATTGCAGGTTTTTCTCTTTCTAATTTCTTTCCTCAACGAGGTCTTCTCTTTGTTTCCTTAATAATGCTATTTATTAAGAGGCCTATTCCTCTTGTTATCTAATCAACTCTTAAAGTATTGTGTTTGAATTCTTAGATTCCTCGATCTACTTTGTCAATCCTTAGCATTCCTCAAGCTTTTCAATATTTTGCTTTTCTAAGTTCAGATAATTCGTCTTTAGCATTGTTATTGTTTGATCAGATTGTGCTAATAAATAGTTCAAACTATGAACCTTAGCCTTAAGAATTTCTACAGACTCCTAATTGGATGCAGAGTTTTTCTTAGAATCTATTGCTTTTTCTTCTAGTTACCTTTTCATCTCATCAATCTACTCCTTCTACTTTTAAATTTGGTTGTCTTTCATCTTTATCATAGAATCTTTGAGTTTCATAAAGCTTTGACCTGTTACCTAGGAATTCTTTAGCAGGGCAACCTATTTTTCCAATTCTGTGATTTTGGAGTCCTAAGACGATAACTTATTTTAGTATTCCTAATTTTTTAATTGAAGCTTCTCTTATTACTCTGATTATAAACTATACTGCTACCTGGATTCTGCTAAATCATCTGATTATTTGAGTAATTATGTTTATAGCAGGTTGATTCTTTACTCGAATAAACCTATGCTATTATTTGCCTCCATTTGCTATTTCTTTAATTAATAATTATTAAACAATTCAGCTATTTCTGGGTGATATCAAGATTATGGGGTTTTGGGGTTTTGGGGTTTTGGGG